TTATTGTTTGCCTTTTCGACAGGGTCAACAAGTTAATCACATTGTGTGGCATGGGCATAATAGAATTCTTATTTATTTTTTTATATTTTACCGGCTGCTGTTCGCTTGTGGCCTGGCGTTTTTTTGAACGTTGGGCACCGCGCACGCGTTTGGTTTGGTTAGGTTTGGGCCTTAATAAGACAACGGAGTTGGACTTCGAGTGCTGCTGCTGCTGGCACGGAAATTGACGTTTAGAACGATCGGGGACCAGACCAGGTTGGCCCGACCAGCTGCCTGGCCTTTTTTGGCCAAGAAGTAAGTACGCTTTAGCCTTTGGCGTTCAAATTGGCAAATTAAGTCATACGCCTGCCCGTCCGCTGCACAGTACCGCAATTTATCTCTTTTGGCTGCAGCATTATTTTGCAATAATTATTGATTTATTGTCTTGTTTGCTGTCCCATTGGGCCGGTTCAAAAAAATCAAAGCGCCGCCAAAAACCATTATCACATGCATGCGAAAACTTGGAACAGTTCTCATTCCCAGGTTCCCAGGCCGGGGCCGAGGTCTAGGTTGGCTGGAAATCATTAGTAAACGCGGCTAATGATGGGCTGGCCTGCAAACTTCGACTTGGTAATTGGAAAGGCACGCACATTAGGGCGTAGTCGATTTTTACGGCTAGAAAGTGAGGCAATTAACTGGCGGGGCAGACACGGAAAATCGCAGCTCTGCAGCATTGAATACCTCGCTCGACCTTTCCCTTTGGCTACCAGGCGTGTTCGCCGTATTAATATTTCACGCCTTCCAATCGAGGCCTAAACTAGTGCAGAAACTGGAGTTGAAAGGTGAATGAATATCTGGCTGAATAAGATAACACGGAACTAATGCCGGCCAGTGGGAAAATGGGAAATCGTGGATAGGTTATGTGGTATTTAGGGGGAACGGAAATGGTCGATTGCTATGGAGTATATCTAAAAATGTTATAATTTTCCTGACTTAAATGATTTAAATTTTTTGAAAATATTTATAAATAGCATAAAAGAAATGTAAACATATTATTGCTAGTCAGTCTACCTGCAATACCCATTTCCCTATGATTATCCGCAGTATATTCTCAATAATTTCTATTTTGCATATCCCCTGCCCGGCCAGTCGAACAAGTTTTCCACCTAGACGCGTCCAGTTTTCTCCTTGCCCACCGAAAAAAATAAATGAAATTGAAAAATATTTGTAACGCCTTATTATATAAAATGTGCTACACATTTGTTAGGCCATTCGGTGGAAACGATTTCCATTTCCCAACTCCCATCCACCCAGTTCGATTCGATTCGATTCCGAACCGACCCTCCTTGTTGGGACTTCGCGCTGCGCTTTCTTGCAGTTCACGTTTGTGGCATGAATAAACCCACTTATCTAATTGCGATTCCGGGAACTGGTTTTCCTTGATACATTTTTCTCAACTCATTAGAACTCAATCATAACTCGGGACTTGGACTTGCACTCGGACTGCGACCGACTCGTTTGCTTTTGGCCTGGCTTTGGCTTTGGCCCCTCCGTGCAATAGGCAAATGTAATCGTTGCTACATATTTTTTTCAGCCGACGCGCGCAATTGTTGCCGTGAGCAATTTTTTATGGCCAGCCAACGAGGCAACAACAACAACAAGTTGGCTAACCAGAAAAGCAAAAAATAAAAAAAGAAAAGAGCAAAACACGCCGGACGTGTTCCATAAACAACACTTTGATTACGACGACGCGGGCGCACAAACGCAAATCGATGTTTTCATATGGAAATTGAATCAAAGTCAAGTCCCGAGCTCAGAGTATCCAGAATATGGAGCACGGCAGCAACTAGCAACATGTGTACGAGTACTCGGTTCGGGCCAACAATGTAAGCTCTGCACAGGAAAATGTTTTGGGTAAGAAAAATAAATAGCTTTTATAGCATAGTCTCCAAAACAAGATTAAAAGAATTTTAAATCTTTTATATTTTTAATCCAGAGGTGGCATATTTCAATTCAGAAAGGGGATTATATTTTTTTACTGCATACTTTTAGACACCTAACAAGGTTGGCTCTGCACAGGAAAATGTTTTGTGAAAGAAAAATATAACAAATATAAGATAATCTCTAAAACAAGAATATCTTAATTTTTTTTCTTTTCTTTTAAGTCCAGAGGGCTTAATATGTGTAACCAATAAAAAAGATTACATTTTTTACTGCATACTTATAGACACCTAGCAATATAAGCTCCGCACTGGAAAATGTTTTTGGAAAGAAAATGGGTCATAATCTCCAAGCCATTTATAAAGGAAATTTGAAGTCTATAATATTTTTAAGCCAGAGGTCCCACGTAATAATACAAAAACAAGATAATTTACTGCATTCTTTTAGACACTTTTATAAGAGGTTTCAAACATCTAGTCTAACATAGTTTGATTAAGCCTGATATTGATCTTAAATCACATTTAAATCTTGGGGTTGATATAATGATAACTTTTCTCCTTGGTTCTTCCGAGCTAAAAATAAAATATAGGACACGGTTTAAGAAAATACTTTAATCTTAAAATTTTGAGAGGAAAATTATTCTTTTTTCCCGTGTATCAATGGATCCGTTGGAGCTTGGAGCTGGCTCCGAGCCCAATTGGCCTTGATGTGAGCCGAGAGTGGGACCATGGCGTCAGCTCTTTTGTGGCTGGCTTTTGCCAGTAGCCGAACATTTGGACGAGGAGAAAACCAGAGAAGGGGGGCAGATCAAGCCCCTGGGTTGGTCTTTTGTGGTTTTAGCTATGATTATTAATCAATTCTTTCATATCACTTCGACTGAATTGAATTCTTTTTACGAATCGTTTAAAAGTATGTGAATACAAAGGTAGCTAAAGTCTGCTGCGGCTGCTGTCTGGCAGCCTTTTTACTCTAATTAATTCAACAAAAGTTTCTGGGCCGCCTTTTGTCCAGAGTTTTCCGCTTACCGACCAGTGCTGCTGGTGCTGTGAAAGGTAGCATTCATTATTCGGATGTTTATGTTTATTAAATTCCATTTAATTACTCCAGTCTACATACGCACGCAATGAAATGCCATTTCAATGGAGCATTAAATGCAAAAAAAAATAGGAAATCATAATAATAATTGTTTATTAATGGAAAATGGCATTTTCGATTGGCATCTGAAAAGGGCAATCGATTCGAGTGGAGGTGACCTTAATATGTGCTTGCCTGCGGTGCCGAGTGAAGGGCTTTGGGATTGTTTAATATTAGATCTTTGAACTAAAATCGGAATAAATTAGCACACACTTAATTGCTTACAAGCGAATCGATCGCTGTCTTTGTTCAATGCAAATAGATTTCTTCCTTCCTTCACAGGAAACACTTCCCATGTCCCCGTTTCCAAGACCCCAACTTGTCTGCCACAGGTGTCGAATTTGACAGATGAGCAAAACGCAGGGCAGTAACCGGAACTTGCGGACCGGACTGCGATTGCTATGGGCGTGGCTGGTCCTCTAAAAGAATCGCATCAGCCAATCCCATAGAGAAACCCAATCCCGCAGCGGAGTCAGCGCGACTTCAATTTAAATTTTAATCGCATGCCTAATAGACAAACCTGTGGTAAATGTCAGAATAAAGAGACTAAGAGCCGACTTAAATCATGCCAACATTTACAAAGTACTTTGCAGGAGCCCCATCTTTGGACCAGCCTCGTATGAGCGTCTGCGAGTCACGGACACGTCGTCAGATACAGTCGGGGTATGGTATGGGTATGGGTATGGGTATAGGATGGTATGGTATGGTATGGTATGCTGAAGATGGGCCAAGACAAACTTCCGATCACGTTGTAAGTCAGCAGCGAAATTGCTAACTGAGAGAAAATGTATAAAATGTATACTTATAGAATTAAGATAGTTTTTCATTACATTAAAAGATGATATCATACAAATATTATAATATAATATATAATATAATTTATAAGTTTTGAAATCCTCAATTCCATTGCATATAATATGGTTTCCCCAACCAAGTTTCAGGGCTCAGAATCTCTTCCACCTTAACAACAAATATTTAATCATATTACCATATTTAGTACTTCTAGTTCCCCAAAAACACATTGATATAAAATACATTTTTTAACTGTGTATCGGACCTCTACCGAGCCCTGGCCAAAGGGCCCAAGAGAGAGAGAAAAAGTTAATGGAGGCAAATGCATCAAAATGGTTAATTGGATCTGGAACAGCAAATGACGAACACTTTTAGTGTTTATGGCAGTAGCTGAGGTACAGGCCCAGATCCAGGGCCAAGTCGAGATCCAGAGTCGGGTCCAGAAACAGCAAAGGAGATTGCGGCAGATAGGCAAGTGTGTACGTGGATTCGATGGTGATGATGGGAGCTGCGGGAAATCGGAGCGGCATGCAGGGCATATATATAGGTATACATATATATATATTCTAGGAGATGCGGCAAACAGCTCAAGTGGCAAGCGTGTTGTACACGACACGCATTAGCGTGAATGGAGCAGTTCTCGTACTTGCCTTGGCCATTTTTTAATCGAATCGAATGCGTTGAGAGCCGGGCCTCAAACTGAAACTGCAGCTTAGATGGCCAGACAAATGTGAGGGAAAATTAATGGCGAGCTCTGCAGTAATTTCCATTAAAGTGGGCACAGCTCCGAAAATGCACTTGTTGCTGCTGGCCAAGCGCCCAGTAAGGCCAAGGAAAACTTCCGTGTTCCTTACCAGACAGCCGGTGGATCGGCGAAATGGTAATGGGCCAATATGATGGCCTCCATGAGCTGCCTAATGGGCCGCTCTATGGAGGTTTTTACTGTGCCATTATGGACCCGCCTCGGCAGCAGCAGCAGCATAGCCTTGTGCGGATTTGGATCCAGTCGATCCAAAACGAAAACGACTGGTTATTTTATTGTAAAAAACCAAGGAAAGCCATAACAAATAGGCACTTTAAAACGTACAAGAAATATTAATACATTCTTTCTGCTAATTCAAATCACCCCTAGCAACAGTCTATTGAGCTATTGATTTAATACTTTCCACCCACACAACTTGTCTCAGTTGGTAAGAAAAACTCAAGCCCTCAACATGGATATGGATTGTAAGGATCTGTATCTTAAAATTTAAAATATTTGATACTAAAGGAAAACCTTATTTTAGTAAACAACGACTTGGAGAAACGCATTTCGGATGCCTTTTGTGTGTTTGATCATCATGGTGACAAGTTCATAGATGTTCGAGAAGTGGGCACTGTTCTGAGACTTTTGGGTTGTGTTCCCACAGAGGAGGAGGTTAATGAAGTAATCTCGGCCACAGAATCGGAGGAGACCAGTGGCGAAGTCCACTTGACCAAATTTTTGCCACACGTCTCGCAATTGCTCATGGAACGCAAGTGAGTAATGTTATTTTCTTTAAATACTATTTCCTATATTATTTTGAACAGAATGGAACCTGCTCCGCCGGAGAAAATTCTGCAGGCCTTTAAGATCTTGGATCCTGAAAACAAGGGTTATCTTACCAAGGAGAGCTTTGGAAAACTGATGATGGAGGAGGGTGAGCCGTTTACCCAGGAGGAAATGGATGAGATGTGGCCAGTGGCCATAGATCCCATCAGCGGGCATATACCTTATGAGTTCTACTTGAATCAGCTGATGGTAATTAAATTAAATTGTTATAATCAGCCCGATTTTTATCTAATGCTTACATTACTTTTCAGGTCTATCTGTAGGCGATGAGATAAGCTTCTCAGATAATATTGCCGCTATATTCTGGTATCTCATTTTTTCACTATAGATACTATATACCAGGCAGATTCCAACTTCCTGAAGCACCTACCTACTATTTTGTCAGCCTTATGCCGCTATAAAAGTGCAAGTAGAGTTCAATAAAGTCCCCAATTTACCCTCGTTAACGGGATGTTTTTAGCACTCCCCTGTGCATTTGCTATTCTGACTATTTCACTAAGCAAATCTCTTTCCACTTTCCACTCCCTTTCTTGGCCACTTACATTAGCCTTAGCTGCGAGCACACAGAGGAGCGGAGCTAACCAACCAAACTGGCCAAATGCGTTCCAAAGTAGTCGGCTAAGTCCCCGGCACAGGACACTGGCTTTTGGTTCTGGATATGGATGTGGATGTGGATAGGGATGTGGAAGAGGAGGAGCCGCTGCATCTGGAGTTCTACTTGGGGCGGGACGCTGCAAAGTGGGTTGCGCATCATTAGCACAACTAATGGATGTTCACTTTTCTTACCTGAAACCTGGAGCCTGGACACCGGACCAAGTCGTGTGCTGGTGTAGTCACCTCCTCGCCACTGCGGTCCAAATTGCAGTCGGTTATGTGCGAGAGAGGCTAGAAATTTAAATAAATTAAAATACCTCTCGAAGTGCATTTGCTAGGGAGTCGTGTTCGGAGTCGTGTTCTCGCTTCCGTATTTATTAAATTCTAAATACGCGCTGATGGATGCACTTAACTGCATCTTATGGATTAAAATATTTCATGTAATGTCCCCCCCCCCCCCCATTCTGCGGCCATCTGCACGTTCTGGCGCTTTGGCCAATTTGAGTGATTGCATTGCGCGCATTTAAATGGATGCTGAGTTGGCCGAAACAAGTTCTGCGGCTGCGGCCTAATGGACTTTTAATCTTTACAACTTGTAAAAATTTCGTTTTTGAATTGTGCCGACCAACGAACCTGATTGTCTCAGAGTCATAAAGAGGCTGCCAAGTGCTTAGAGGGGATATTAGATTCGCTCCCTTGACCCTAACTACACTCGGAAAACAAGCTCAGGAACTGGAAATTCTTAAGTTTAAATCTGGGATTAGTTTTGAAAATAAGGGCAAGTATGCCGGAAAATCTGACAGTCGTCAGTCAGTCTGGCAGCGGGGATCGTAAAAATGCCGAACAAATTGTCAAAGTTCGGTGGAGCCTTTCTGGGAGAACTAAACTGCTTCCTCGCCCGAATCAATTCGGCCTGCCTTTCTTGGGGGCCAAAAAGCCGTCCTCCTCCGACTGATGATGATTTACGCTCGACGAAGCGTAATTAAGATTTATGCTCCACACTCACTTGCAAAATATATACTTATATCCAAAGCCACAAAATATGCACATAGTTGCGTATCTGAGTTTATGAGTACCAACGGCTTAATTGTTAGTTATGCGCTTTTGTTTGTGCGACATTAAAACTAATTAAGTAGAAAGAGTTCCTATAAGATTTATATGCATCAATGATTGCCTGTTGTTGCAAGTGTGTGCGCAGCAAATTAAAGCAATTAGTTGCATTTTATGGCAATGGCCAGAAGTACAAGGCCCCAAGCCCATTCGCAAAGGGATAAAATATGTATTTACGACCCCAAGGGGCCTTTCCTAATGAGTGGGCGATGGCAGGGAGCAAATATTTATGCACCTTGATTGATATCAGCCAGAGGTTGTTTTCACAATTGACATATTATGAATTAATTATTAGCATTAATTGATTGCAGCGGTTTTGTTTTCTTAGGTAAGTTAACTAGAAAAATATATGGTTACTTGGGTTTTGTTAATCAACATTATAATTTCAAGAAATCAAATGTAAATTTGGAAAAACAAATTCTGAATAACTGTGTTTCCTTTGAGATCCTGCATATTTCTGCATGTTATTGAGCCAAATCTATTCTTCTCGCTTCCCCTGATTTTCAGGCGTTTCACTTCCTCTACCATTTTCATTTTCCAGCTGCACCGCCTGGAACTTTCAATCAACTTTCTGTTTACCTATGCCTGCAGAGCCACTTGTTTTGATGCCTGCCTTGAAATAATGGCAAGCCTCGCTTTCGTTACTGTTGCCCCAGAGAACTGGCAACTTCAGATTCCGATTCGGAATGGGAATTGTGAATCTGGGTTTAGTGCACTCGTATACCACGTACATACGACTTCAATGCAATGAAATCGCAAGCTGGCTCTTGCAATTTTGACTTCGAGTGCTTTTCCTGCCCCGCCGTTAATTGAATTTAAGCAATAAAATATAATTTGGATTTTTGCATGTTTCCCTGGCGCGTAGCACGCCGAAAAGCGGAACCCGAATGGAAAGTCAAAGTCGGTGCCACAGAGGGGCCAGAATCCAAGGTAGGAACTGCAGAATCGCAAAAGGTGAACAACATGCAATTGGTGGCGGGGAAGTTGGGGGCAAAAAAGCGTGGCCACTGGCTCGGAGTCCCCATGCCTGCGTCTTTATTGTTGCAGCAGCCGTCGACATCATCGCCATCGTCATCGTCATCATCATCCGACGTCGTCGCTGCCATGTACAACACCCAGAGGTATCAGCAGACAAAATGCTAAAAATGTATTTACCACAAAGGCAACGCGACGACGAGTTTGGCTCATTGCTGCCGCTGCTCCTGATGTGGCTTTTGCTTTGCCATTGCTTTTGCTGTTGCTTTTGCTGCGGCTGCCCTTAATGGATCTGCAGCACTTTGAGTGATTTATTTCACACGTTGATGAAATGGACAGCAATGGGCCGCATTTTGACGTTTATTGCAGCAGTGGCAAGGGCCGCAGAAGCAGCAGCAACGGCAACAACAGCGTACAGCAAAAGCGTTCAGTGCCCACGGCATGTGTTCTGCGCATGCGCGCAGCCCTTTAACAACGGGGACTGGGCTGAAAAGCAGACGGCGTCCACCTTGGAGCCGGGTTTTGAAAGGAAGCTATTTTGGCCCTCTCTAGATGCCCTTCCACTCTCAGGAGTGGGACTAAAATAGAAAAAGACTTTAGTTTTATATATACATACATGAGTGATTCTTTTTGAAACGTACAGAGTTTTTCTTATTACGATAATAAATCATTTATATAGAATTTTTTAAAAATAAAAAAAAAAATTCAATTTGACAGAGCAAATATATAAATATAAGGATACCCATAGCTAGATGAATAAGTCCTTTTTAGAAAAGCATATTTTAAAACAGGAAAAAAAATCCATTTATATTACGTATCTACTGTATCATGAATGTATTGTAAAAGCTTGAATTTGTTATTAAGATCTTATTTAAATGGGATTATTTTTTTATTGTGTATCCTTACCTAGCTTCATTTAATATTATCTGTTCGTTATTAAAAAATATTTTTTTATTGTTTAAATTGGCATAAAATCATTTTTGAACTGCGAACAAGAGTTTGTTTATAACTAACTAGCTTTTAAATAAGCTTTAACTGCTTTTTTGCAGAGTATCTGGTAGTCAACCTTAAATTATGTTATGATATCGTTTTGCTTTTTTAATATTTTCCCTGTTTTTTTTGCAATTGCATTGGGAGCCTTGCACGTCTTTTGGTAATAGCCCCGCAGACCGTGCGCGCTTTAATGAGGCGCGCTCCTCATTTGGACGCCACGCATTTCGTAGTTTTGTACCCGTTTACCAAACGACGGATGTTGGTTCCTCGAAGAGGGGGGCAGCGGACTCTCGGCTATTAAAACATTTAATTGCAACTTAATTAGTCGAAGGTCTGGCAGGGCACTTCTCACGAAAGCAACTTTGCCGAATGCCAGCTCTGACCCCAAAGTCGCATTGAGAGTGTTGGGGTTGGTGGGGGTCAGCTTTTCCGCAGTGCGACCCAATCACGGAAAAGCCATCGAGCGTCGGGCATATTGACAAATCCACCCCCGAGAAAAGTCAATTTAACACATTCACTACGCCTCTTAAAAATGTTGATATTTTAATTAGTTACGCTCTAAAGGATTTTCCACAGGCAAGTCAAGGTTTCACCCACTCCCCAAAAAAACCAAATCCAGCTTGGGACTTGGCCGGGTCCAAGAGCCTGGATCATCCATGGAGTAGTTACTGCAAAGACGCCGAGGCCATGCAGCTGGAGAAAAATAAAGTGCCAAAGGGCACACATGGCACCGAGTTTCTTTGGTTTTGTGGCTTTTGTTTTTAGCCATAAACAGGCTGTTGGTGTGAGTTAGCATCTTCAGGGGAGGAGATGCAGGGGGATTATTTAGGAAAACTTTAGGAAACATTATATTAATTTTTTTTTAGTTTTTAGGAATTTTAATATTGGATCTTGGTCCCATTTTTTCTTGTCAAAGCATTTCCTTTCCCCCTTTACTTTCCCTCAACAGCCGCCCTTGGCTTCATATGCCAACCTACAGAGCTTGGTTTTCCCTCATCGGTTTTTATTTTGGTTTTATGACAGCGCGCCCAACTGTGGCAATAAGTTCAAATGCCAGCCCAGAGACCCGGCGACTAAATGCACGGCTAAATGTGCAACCGAGGCTGACTGGCTGACTGGCAGGGAAACTCTGGCCCAAACCCGGCTCAGGCTCAACCTCAAGAGTCAAGCTCAGGCGGACAAAGGTTCCCTCGCTGGCAGTGCCAAAATAAAAAGTGGGTGTAGCGGCACCAAATGCCATTGCCAACTTTCGGTCCAAAAGCAACGCCAACGCACCTCGTGAGCATCATCGCCTCGCCCCCACCTTCACCATCACCATCATCTCATCCTCGCCAGTGCTGATTTCCACTAATTTGATTAAACAGATTGAGTTTAATAAGGCTCGTGGAGGAAAGGAAATGCACTGGCACTTGACTGTGCCGAATGCCGGCAACAAATGCTGCCTAATTCAAGTGCCGCATTTATTTTGTAAACATTTCACATCGCACTCTGTATTCTGCACTAGGTACTAGGGCCGCACGACTTGTTATGATACAAAATATGCCGGTTGAGCAGTGATAGCACTTGAGAATTGCCCACACAAAAGGCCACATCCCTACTCCAGTCTCAGTCCCAATCCCAATCCCAGTTCCCAGTTCCAGCCCCGATTTCGAATCCGATCCCGGACCTGGAACAACCCAATCAATGGGCCCAGAGCTCGTCCGTGCAATGTGCGTTTTGTGTGCACTTATGCGATCATTTGTTAAGTGTCATCGCGCCGGCATATGGGCAGGAAAACAACTC